TTCACGAGGGTTTCCTCTCAGGTTGAGTCAGGTAACACAAAAACGGGATCGATATTTGAATGGTCGTTTACATAAGAGGCTACGTGTCCGTCTCGTGGATGGATGCAACCTTACCTGAAAAGGGTTACGCCGTATCTTTTATTGCTTGTCGAACTGATCGTGACAGATCGATTTCCCTGTATGCGCCCAGTGACAGTGGTTTCTTTTATTCGGCGTAAATTGACGCGTCGACAAACACCGAATTTTAACCTAGGCGATTTCTATAGAGATCATGATTTATGATCATCTTGTTACATTTGTTGTCGTAACCTCCTAATCACTTGGTGGATTAAATTTTACAACGCATTGTTTGCTTTACGATCAGTAGGAATACAAAAATATAAAAGTTATTACTTATCAATCCTTAAATATTGCTTTCCACGTGATATTTATAAATTTCCCTATAAATCAACGGATGCGAAGTGAAGTTGCTTGATGAAACAATCGAGACGTAAAAAAGGAATAACCTGAGAACTACAAATCTATCCTTCCAGATATTTCTTTCTTTATAAATTTCATTGAAATGGCGCGAGGTGGTGGCTTGAAAAAAAAGAAATTTGGAAACGATTTGAATGGCAATCGACAGTTGAAAATAGAGTCACACCTGAGCCTCTAATCGAGAATGAGACTGAAACTGAACTGCTCGAACGAAGGCTGTTTCGATCGAACACAAGCTGTGTGGTGTGGCGTGGCGTGGCGTGGATACGTTCGATACGGTGGTCCATAACCGGATATGAGTGGACGGCGCACGCAACAGTTTTCCGTGAAAATAACATGTTCGAGAGCGCATCGTTGGCTGGACTGGTTCGATGTTTTGCAACCCGAAGCGTGGGAACACGAAACGTTTCGGTTCACCCCCATTTTTACCTGTTCCGGGGATTTGCCGAAGATGAAATACTATCTAGACACCGGGGGATGAAATTAGGCAGCTTAGCATTCAGAATGGACAGGGGCCTTTCAGCCGGTTTCCAATAATTTTCAAAACGTAATTCCTTGCCCTGCCGGACGATAGATCGTTCTCCAGAAAAGGGTATTCTCAAATGGACGGCGTATTATAACCGCGTTCTTCGATATGCAACGAGCCGCGTAATAGGATTTTCATCGATCGAGATACGAGCTTTGAAAGACGTCGATAGAGATACGCG